AAAAAAAAAAAAAAAAAAAAAAAATCCCAGGGCACCTGGCTGGCTCAGTTGGTTAAGTGTCCAACTCTTGATTTCAGCTCAAGTCATGATCCCACAGCTAGTGAGACCGAGCCCCACATCGGGATCTGCGCTGACAGTGTGGAGCCTGCTTGGGATTCTCTCTCTCTCCCTCCCTCTCTGCCCCTCCCCTGCGTGTGTTCTCCCTCTTTCTCTCCCTCAAAAATAAAGGAACATTTTTTTTAATCCCATGGATCTCACAATAATACTGAAAGAGACTCTTCCACCCCATGGTGACTAGCCTGTATACAGAACAAAAAGTCACACTAGCTGAGAAGCTGACCTTCCCTTCTAGGGCTCCTGGGTGGGAAGGGAAGCAGCACTTGCTATCCTCACATCAAGCCCCAGAGCTAAGGGTGACATTGTCACCATCACAGACCAGGACACCAAGAGCCCAAGGCACCCACTAAGTGACCAGGCAAGGCAATGCGACTGGGAAGAAGCCCAGCTGGGGCCTGGATGGAGGCCAAACAGTAGCCCCTGTGGGCTCAGCCTGCAGCCGAGCTGCCCAGTGTCCTGGACCAATGCACGAGCCCGGCTCATCATCCCCCCAGGCCTCAGTTTCCCCTTCGACAAACAGAGGAACTTGCAAGGACCCTTCTGGTTCTGTCTGTGGATTCGGTATTACATTCCCATCCAACTCCACTTCCCAGGAAACCAAAAAACGAGAAACAGAACTTGAAGGAAGAGACCAAAGCCGGTGGGAGGTGGTAACCTGGGCAAAGAACAGCAAATTCGCAAGAGATGCCATAGGCCCCAACCCATTTTTGCCGTAACCCGTGGCTCCACCATGACAGGTGCCACAAACAGGAGACCGATATTTTCAGACCAAGGCAGCTAGAAATAGAAGAGAACTGGGTCACATGGGAGATGCTGGGCTGTCGGAAGCTCCATCCCCACTCCTCCAAAGAGAAGCTTCCAGGTCTCCTGTGCAGTATGAGGGGACACAAATGTGTCCCTGTGGTTTTGGGGAAGGAGGTGGACAAGGGAGATACCCCTGGCTCGTCCCTGCCTGACATCAGCCTGCAGCCTGCAGACCTGACAGGCATGGGCTGTTTGGAAAACAAGCTCTCCGCGTTCCCGGCCGCTCCACTGAAGGTAAACAGTTGAGTTCTGGAAGCCAGCCACCTTCCTTTGTATACTTTCCAAGCATTTTTATGCCAGTAAAACCCTTTCACGAGAACGGCAACTTGGGACACACATCAGGCCTGGTCTGGTCCTGGCTCGGCCGTCTCTCTCACGGCAGCATCTCTGCTGAGGCCTGAGTGGAGCTGTCACTGGTTCCAGAAGGTTCCCCAGCACATCTTCTCCTCAAGTAGCCAGATAAGCCATGATCGCCCTGAGGGGTCTATCCTCCTACAAGTGCCTCAAGGGGACTCTGGTCTCTCACTGCTGGCTGGGAAGGAGGAGGTGGGCACTCAGGCAGGGTCATGCTGGGAGAGTGGCTGGCTCCCAAGAAGCCAGGACACGGCAGAAGAGGGGACCCTGGTGGGCCAGGTTTCATTTCTCAAGATGGGGTGGGGAGGGGGGACTCAGGCAGAAGGGACTCGTTCAACTGTCATTTTGTTTTTCTGACCACACTCTGCCTCCAGAAAAGGGAACTTTCCCAGGAACTTGTTCTCTTCTGCGGAAAGGGTCTGATCTGTCCCTCAGCCAGGAACAAGGATGTCTCAATGAAAGGGCTGCCCGCTGTGGCCAGAGGAGGTCTGTGGGTGCCATGCTTCCAAGTCACGCCATCCTGTGAGGCCAATGCCGGACGCTGTTCTGCACAGAGCTCAGAGCTCAGGATTCGGATGAAACAAGGACCCACTGTTTCCCTCGGCTACGAAGGCAGGAGGCTGACTGGAGACGGGGGGCAGGGGGCGCCGGGAGCAGTTGGGACAAAGGCCTGCAAACCCCAATGGCCGGAAAGTTACCTCTGACTCCCGAAGCAAGCAACCCAATCATGCCCAGCCTAGGATCCAAGGTGAGCTAGACTCTGACTATCCCCACGTCTCCCACCACCTGGTCTGGGAGGCAGATGTGCATGGCAGAAGCCTGGAAACCCCATCACAGCTCAGCTGCTCCTGGGCTGGGCAGGGGATTTAACTGCTCTGCACCTCAGTTTCCACAAAATGAGGATGTTACCTTACTGGGCTATTTTGGGATTAGAACATCCCATTTATGGATGGGGCACAGGGTAGATGTCTAGCAGGTGCATTAATACTGCTCTGGGTGCTTAGACAACTAAGCACCCGCCTCTGCCTACTCATTTGACAAGTATCCCCTGGGCACCTCCTGGGCACCAGATGCAGAGTCCCTGTGCTCCCCTCTCGAGGCTCTCTGTCAGTAACCCAGTGAGTGTCCCAGCTCACTCTGGAAGCTGGCCCAAGTGATAACAGCTACATGTCACTCCAGGCCCCACATGGGAGACGAGCTCCTGTGTCTGAGCCGCCCCTCTGCCCAGAATATCCCCTGGCCCCACGTCCCCTTGTCCCCACAGTGACAAGTCCCAGCTCCAAAGCTCAATCCTTTTCCAGACTTCTCAACTTGTTCTACCCCAAACAGGAAGATTTAATGGCTCCCTGGTCTCGCCCATATCCCTGGGACCCCCTGCGTATCCTTCAGGGACTGCTACCTAACTTCTAAATATAAAGTCCTTCCTGGGGCGCCTGGGTGGCTCAGTCGGTTGGGCATCCGACTTCGGCTCAGGTCATGACCTCGCAGTCCATGAATTCGAGGTCTGTGAGTTTGAGCCCCGTGTCGGGCTCTGTGCTGACAGCTCAGAGCCTGGAGCCTGCTTCGGATTCTGTGTCTCCCTCTGTCTGGCCCTCCCCCGCTCATACTCTGTCTCACTCTCTGTCTCTCAAAGATAAACAAACGTTAAAAAATATTAAAATAAAATAAAATAAAACAAAATAAAGTCCTTCCTCTAATCCTGCCTCGTCCACCAGATCCTGAGATCCCCAAACACCAGGACTGGGCCTGGCATCCCCAGGGAAGAGCTTGCTAACGTGTGCTAAACATAACCAGAAGTTCTGAAGAAACAGTGAACAATGCAGGCCTACCGGAAGGGGCATCCCGTGAAGCAGGGTGACGCTCTCCTCCTCAGGGGGTTACAAATGGCCTCCTGGAGGAGGAGGGAGAGAGCAAAACGGGACCTCCAGAGGTGGCTGGAGGAAGACAGGTGTGACGCAGGCCTACTGACACTTGTCAAGCCCAAATGCATCACGTGCCACAGGCTACCCTCTGCAGAAGGAGCCTGTCCTACGGCACTGACCCCTGAATGCCACCCTGGCAGGGGTGGCCCATGACCACCCCTCTCTCATGCTGCATCTGCA